GAAGGAAGGAAGGAAGGAAGGAAGGAAGGAAGGAAGGAAGGAAGGAAAGAACGAAGGGAAAAGGAAGGAAGGAAGGGAAAAGGAAGGAAGGAAGGAAGGAAGGAAGGAAGGAAGGAAGGAAGGAAGGAAGGAAGGAAGGAAAAATGAAAGAAGGAAGTAAGGAAAGGAAGGAAGGAAGGAAGAAAGGAAGGAAGGAAGGAAGGAAGGAAGGAAGGAAGGGAAAATGACAGAAGGAAGGAAGGAAGGAAGGAAGGAAGGAAGGAAGGAAGGAAGGAAGGAAGGAAGGAAGGAAGGAAAGAAGTTTTTGCACTCAAGCCTCATGGACGTTCGGAATATCTTGGTTGGTGTTCGGAGATGCTTTGTGTTTGAAATATTTCTTGGCAACTTTGGCAAGGCTTGTTCTTATCAATCACTTTGAAACAGCCTTTTAACCGTGAAGGAACGGAATTCCTAAAGAATCATTACAAGGTTTTGCTCTTACCTCCGTTTTTCATGTTTGTTTCCTTGGAACAAGGTTTGGGTCAAAACAGTAAGCCACTTAAGGTTTGGAAGAGTGCTATCCTGTCACCCTCCCTAGTCCTTCTCTTCCTTAGACTGGACAGGGCTAGTTCCCTCAATCGTCCATTATCTATAACTGCTCATCGAAGCAATACGCTGGATCCCTCCCACGAGCAACAGGCTGGACTGGACAGCCTCTAGCTGTCTCTCTTTCAATGCTGCTATTTTGAAAGTCGTGTCACATCCATCCTTTCTGCCTCTACCCTAATTCTCTCCAACAGCTGGTCGGCCCGAGCTGCAACATGTTTTGGGTTCCTTCAGCTGTTCGACTTGAAAAAAAAAGCACCCAAATCAAATGGCTTTTCACAGGCAGAGAATACATCATTTCCTTCTCTCATCTTGCCACATCATCATAAAAATAATAATAATATTCCAGCCGGGGGTGGGTTGAGTAATTATGGTGCACAGCTACTCCTCTCTCTCTCTCTCTCTCTCTCTCTCTCTCTCTCTCTCTCTCTCCGTCAGCTCTCTTGGCTCTTGCCAAACTCTTCATTTTGCTTTTCAAACCAAGCCATTCGCTGTTTAAAAGAAGTTTTGGAAGGGAAGAATCCCATTGACTAAGTTGCAAAGAGCCATCGGAAGGAGGGAAGAGAAGTGGGGATAAACTGGAATGACCCCCAAACGGAAAGGAAATCAGTAAAGGGATGCGGGTCTGTCCTATAGGAGCGGTGCGGTGGCCTCGAAGTGGAGCTCTTGCCTGCACAATTGGGGGGCTGTGAGTTCGATCCCGGGTAGAGGCAGATCTTTCTCTCTCTGGGCACCATAAGAATATAACGGCTGAACAAAACTCCGCATTGGTGACAGGAAGGGCATCCGGCCCTCAAAGCACTCTGCTAGACTCCAACCCCCGCAAGGGATTATGGGGTCATTTAAAAGATGACGATGATGATGTGGATCTGTTCTATATAATGGGGTTGAGTCTATTCATTGACCCCCAAATGACTTTCCATCATATATGAACCATCTATTATTCCCCCCCCCGCCGCCCCATTTATTAACTCCCAGTCGTTTACCAATTCGGATTGAAGTGGGGCCTCACCGGTGCAATATCACTTCCCGTGATCTGGATGCTATCCTTTCGTTGATGCAGCCCAGGACTGTGTGGTCTTTTTAGGCAGCTGCAGAACACTGGTGGTTTAGCACATTTTTCCATCAGAATAGAGCTGGAAGGGTCCTGTGAGGTCTTCTAGCCCAACCCCTTCCTCAAGCAGAAGATCCCTATACAATCTGAGACAAGGGGTTGTCCAGTTTTTAGTGTTGGAGCATTTACAACTTCTGGAGGCAAGTTGTTCCACTGGTTAATTGTTCTTACTCTCAGGAAATTTCTCCTTAATTCCAGGTTGCTTCTCCCCTTGATCAGTTTCCACCCATTGCTTCTTGTCCTGCCTTCTGGTGCTTTGGAGAATAGCTTGACTTCCTCTTCTTTGGGGCAGCCCCTGAGATATTGGAACCCTGCTATCATGTCTCCCCTAGTCCCTCTTTTCTCTAAACTACTCCTGCAACCGGCCTTTGTTTGTTTTTGTCTCCAGTCTTTTAAACGTCTTAGTTGATCTCTGCACTTTTTCCAAAGTCTCAACATCTTTTTTGTAATGGGGTGACCAAAACTGGATGCAGGATTCCAGGTGTGGCCTTACTGTATGAAAGCAATACTGAAACTTCACGGGATTTGGATTCCATGCCTCTGTTTATACAACCAAGGATTGTATTCGCTTTTTTGGCTCCTTCCTTGATAAGCCCGCAAGTTGTTTTCGGAGTTTCAGCTACAAACTGTCCTCTGAACTCTTTTCCCAAAGGCAGAATTCCACGTTTCAGTTAATTCAGATTACACAGTAACAGAGTTGGAAGAGACCACATAGGTCATCTAGTCCAACCCCCACCCTGCCCAAGCAGGAGACCCTATACCATTTCTGACAAATGGCAATCTTAATACCAGGCTTAATAATGAAACCAAGCTTAATAGCAGGAACTGTGAGAGGGATCTTGGAGTCTTAGTGGACAACCGGCTAAATAGGAGCCAGCAGTGTGCAGCAGCAGCCAAAAAAGCCAATGCAATCCTAAATTACATTAACACAGGGATACAGTCAAGGTCAAGGGAGGTACTAATACCACTCTATAAAGCCTTAGTAAGACCACACCTAGAGTACTGCATCCAGTTTGGGTCACACCACTATAAAAAAGACGTCGAGACTCTAGAAAGAGTGCAGAGAAGAGCAACCAGGATGATGAGGGGACTGGAGACTAAAATACACAGTGAACGGTTGCAGGAACTGGGCCTGGCTAGTCTAGTAAAGAGAAGGACCAGGGGAGACTTGATAGTGGTCTTCCAATATTTGAGGGGCTGCCACAGAGAGGAGGAAGAAGTCAAGCTGTTTTCCAAGGCACCCTAAACCCAGACAGTGAATAATGGATGGGAACTGACCAACAAGAGATTCAACCTGGAAATAAGGAGGAGTTTTCTGACATTGAGAGCAATCAACCCATGGAACAGAAGTTGCCTTCAGAAGTTGTTGGGGCTTCATCACTGGAGGCTTTCAAGAAGAAAATGGACTGCCATTTGTCAGAAATGGTTTGGTTAGAGTCTCCTGCTTGGACAAGGGGTTGGACTAGATGACCTACAAGGTCCCTTCCAACTCTGATTATCTGTTAAATCTGCAACTAGGAGCATAAGACCTAGATATAAATAAAACAATGCAGTCCAATTCTTCTTCTTGAAAGCCCCCAGGGATGAAGCTCCCACAACTTCCAAAGGCAACTTCTGTTCCACGGGTGGATTGTTCTCACTCATGAACAATCTCACTCTCAATTACTCACTAATTCATGAGTAAAGCTAGTGTACGAGCTCTGTGGAAACTACATTGCCGGATCCTTAGTTAAATGGCATGTTTTCTGCTTTGGCAACAGCAGGCCGGCCTTCGTTTTGCAAAGACACAGTCATTTGCTGCCCCTTAGTGGCCGGTCTTTCTCATTTCTTCTCTTTCCTGCCTTCCAATCGGCAAACAGACAAGGGTCAGGCGTTGGGCCAACAAGCCACGGTTTCCAGAACCAGCATTGCAAAAGGCAGGCAGCCCTTGACTAACAATGCTCTGTGGCTGAAGTTACAACAGCATTGACAAAAAGCGATTGGCAACCGTCTTTCATACCTTTGTGGTGGCATCCTTGCGGGGGGTCATGCAATCAAAATTTGGACCCTTGGCAACTTATGTGTATTGATGACACGTATCGCACAGCCCTGGGAGGGGGGTGTCATGTGATCTCCATTTGTGACCTGCCCAGTGTCAGGATTCCGGCAGTTACCCCAATTAAATCATGAGTCTCGAGCCAAACTTCCAAAACTTCCAAAGCAGGGGTGGGTTTCAAACTTGGTAACAACCGGTTCTGTGGGGGTGGCTAGATGGGCGTGGCCATGTGGCTGGGTGGGCGTGGCTTCTTCTTCTTCTTTTTGGCAACACTCCCCCAGTGAGAGCAATCAACTGATGGAACAGAAGTTGCCTTCGGAAGTTGTGGGAGCTTCATCCCTAGAGGCTTTCAAGAAAAGACTGGACTGTCATTTGTCAGAAATGGTGTAGGGTCTCCTGCTTGGGCAGGGGGTTGGACTAGATGACCTACAAGGCCCCTTCCAACTCTGTTAATCTGAATCTGAACCTGTACGGGATTTGAGCTGTTATCTCTTCTCAGCTGTTTAAGAAAAAGTTTTCTTTCATTCAGCCGCAAGAGGGCAGTGCAAACAGTGTGATAAATTAATTTGAAAACATTCAACTGTCCTGCAAAAAGTTGGTATTTATTATTAAAGGAAGTCAGGATTCCCATCGGGCCTTTCATAATAGCCGGAAGCGGGTATTACAGCTTCTTGGCACCATCCCCTGGCCAAGGCTATTCCACTGCTCCTTTCCCACATGCCAAAATTAAAACAGATGTAAGTTAGAATCAACTCGGGTGTCTACTTCTTGTGATGTCATTGTTTTTAAAAGTGCTAAAATGTTAAAAACAAAACAAAACAAAAACCAGTCGGAGCTTAAGGCCTGCCAAGATTTTATTATTTTATTTGTATCTCGCCTTTATTATTTTTTTACAAATAACTCGAGGAGCAAATATATCCAACACAACTTCCTTCTCCTATTTTTTCCACAAGAACAACCCTGCGAGGTGAGTTGGGATGAGAGAGAAGGACTGGCCCAGAGTCACCCAGCTGGCTTTCATGGTTAAGGTGAGACTAGAACTCATTGTCTCCAGGTGATTGGACCAAAATCACCCAACTGGCTAGCATGGCTAAAGTGGGACAAGGATTCACAGACACATGGAGACTGGCCCAAAGTCACTTTAGCCAGTTTTCATACCTAAGACAGGACTAGAACTCCCAGTCTCCCGGTGATTGTCCCAAAGTCTCCCAGCCTGTTTTCATGACTAAGGCGGG